AGTATCACGTTTAATTTTAGACTGTGAGGCAGTATTTGTATCAGATAGATTGTTGTTAGCTGTTGAGCCGCGTAGTGGTGATGCTAAAAGTGGTGAGCTCACCTCAACATGGTTCTGCAATCAACAAAAGTATGATCAGAAAACATCAAAATATACAGGTTTGAATGCCCACAAACTTGCATCTATACCTTAATAATAAATACTGTGAAGCACTCTAATTTCATGACTTGCAAAATGGCAAACATTTGTAGCAGTGAAAATATCTCTGGGTTCTACAACATGGAGTCTCAGTGACTTCTGCAAAATTTTATCTTCATGAATCCCAAACACTTCACAAAAATTTCCAGCAGTAATAATTAAATGGTTTACAATAAATAAAAATACAAAATTGGTTAATGCAAATGGTTCCATTACGAGAGAGGTCAGAGGTCACTGACATGCAAGTAATCTCTGAGTAGTCGCTCCGGGAGTACCCAAAAATACTACAGCAAAACGTAACGGAGACACTCTAACAACAACTCTGTTCGATTCACTAAAGTAACGTCGACAAACAGACACAAGCTCAAGAATGAAATCTAAGAAGAAGACCGGGAATTCGACAACAAAATCTCAACAGCCACCGCTCAGATTCCAAGCCCACGCGACGACCAGATCACGTGATCAAGACGAATCTGGAAACGACAGTGAAAGTACAAGTACTTATGACGGACCATCGCCAGTAAAAATGCACAGCGACATCGATTTTGAGACTTTTGTGAAATCTACCCTAGAGAGAATGGAAATCAAGATAGACAAGGTGGCGGGAGAACACAATGTAGTGAAAGAGCAAATCGAGCAAGTGGCGACAAAACAGGGTGAATTTGAACATTCACTTGACCACACCACCGAGGAGATTCAAGAATTGCGTAATGGCCACGCCGCGGCTGAGAAACGAATATCTGAACTAGAAAACGCAGTAAAGGTTATCAGTATTCAGCTCCAAGAATCCAGAGAAGACAATCTCAGTCTTCAAAGATATTCACGCCGGTACAACATTAGATTTGGCGGTATAAAGGAAACACCCGGAGAGAACTGCGTAGAAACACTGGCGGGAATTTTGGAAAACAAATTTGGACTCGTGGACGCTGGGGACATGATTGAGAACGCACATCGGGTGACCCCAGTAAACAAAAGCAGAAGGGACGGTCCACCAGGCCAG